TAAGACATATCTTTTTTTAGTACAGCAACTATGCTGTTGCCGTAAAATGACACAAACGCCCTACTCAGATGGCAGGCACAAACAGTGATCAATTATATGTGCATATGTGTTGGTTGGTATGCATGTGCACTGAGGAGACCCATGATGAATCATCCTGTCCTATAGCTGAAAGGTGGGACTGAAAATCTTCTGTTTGCTGTTCCTTTGGAAGAGGAGTAGGTAGGAATAATAAAGGCAATTTGCTGCCATGCATTTTCCCACAAAAAAAGTGAAAGGCAAATGTTCACAGCCTCCTCAACTAACTGAGATTTAAGGAAGCCTGACTTTCTAAGCTGCAGCCCACAGCTCCTACATTATCTTTTTTAGCTTGCTTAAATGACAGCTGTCATGTTGTGTGATAGTATTTGCAATAAAAAGCTTGAAGTTTTGGGGCTGCACCCTTAGTTAGCAGTAGAATGCATTGATACATCTAATTAATCACATTGCAAATTTCTCTCAGAATTTAAAAATATGATAGCTCTGACCCATCAGTTCAAACACCAATTCACTTATTTATTGTTGCAACAAAACAAACAACCAAACCAAACAAACACCCCCCTCACAAAAAAAAAAAAAACAAAAAAACCAAAAAAACCCAAAAAAAACCAACAACAACAACAACAAAAAGCCAAACAAACACAAAACCCAACCAAGCAAAAACCCCACCTCCTTTCCAGGAAGCAAGAGGACACTAAACAGACTTTTCTTTTGGCCCTGAATTCCTACTAGCTTCACCGGATGAGCCCTAATTTTCTATTTGCTTCCTAGTACTGTAATTGCTGGATATGTCACTTTAGATGCATTTTATGTAGGAGCAACAGCACATGTTCCTGCCTGGCAGAATCTGGATTATTCATGCACATATTGCAGTGGGTTTCACAGGCTCTACAAAAACACATCTAAATTGGCAAGCTTTCTGACGCTTGGTCTTGCATCTTATCCACTTTGAAAGAGAAGGGAGTGTACCACCTATCAAATATCCATACTGAGATGTACTGTGATGAGCGACTCCTCTGAATAATTGATTTAAGGGTCCAGGATATCTCAGAAAATTGTAACATTATGTGACACCTTCCACCTTGACGTTATTGAAGAAATGACACAACTCTTACTCTGTAAAAACTGATACAAAGTTACTAAATGGCCTCAACCTAAGTTGAGTATCATCCTTTTCTGCAGAATTAAAATTTCCCTGTGATCAGTGTCAATATTGGAAACTACAAATGGCATCTTTAGGAAAACAGTCTCAATAGAAAATGCAGCTACAAATGACCCTGGATATTTAGGTACATTATTACACATGGAGGTCTTATTATTCCTAGCAGTCTTACACAGACAGAGCTGAAATCTCTGTATAGATGTCAATGCAAAAATGATACAGTGCCTGAGAAAACTCCTAAAATTTCTGTTCACTCTGCATCACTTCTCTACACAGTAGACATGAGTTTTACATGGCTGTCAAACCTGACTTTTCTATCATTTAGCATACAAGCACTGAAAGAGCAGAGGAGGAATTACTCATAGATTTCATAAAAAGCAGAATCTTTGTTTATGTAATTTTATATGGTTGAAAGATAAACACAGATGTTGCATTTGCAGATATTATATTTATAACATTATTTTGTCAATTATGCTGTGCTTCAGACATGGAAAAACATGGTATATTTATATTTCTTACTTCTTACAGATTTTAAAAAGTTTCTTGACAAAATGCATATTTTCATACATTTAGTCAAAATTATGAGACTAAAGAAAAAAATTAAAGAAAAGTCAACTTTCAGATAACTGAAAGTAGTTTGGGGTTTTTATAAAGCAAAATATTTTGAAGAATTTTCATGAACACAAGGTATTTCCTAAATGTGATTAGCACACAAAAAATCTTATTTTCCACTACTTTTGTGTTCAAAAAATGTGATCTAAGCAGACTGGAGAAACTCCTTGCTAAAAGATCATATTGCAGAAGCAAGGCCATATTCTTCTTACAACTGCAGGCATCTGTCTTTCAGATCTCAGATGGGAGCAGGAGGGGCAAATTTTGGGCCTCTTTGATTCTCATGGGAAAGTGTATTTAAGAGAAAGTATAATTTTTCAGGGTTTGTGCCTCCTTCTGATAATTTCTATATATGTCCACTTACAGAATTGCAGAAGGCCTCCAGTGGCCACCTCTCTTTGGCCAAGTCAGGACAACCAGTGTCTCAGCCAGACAGATATTTGACTACCTTCCTAAAAAACATTTAATGATGGAGATTCCACTGCCTCCTCTGGTGCCTTGTATCTTGAAGAGTGGAAAACAGACTTAGGTGTCAACCATGACATGAATATAAAGTGGAAATGTCTAAGGCAGATTTGTCTGATTAGCTGAGATATCAAAATTTATTGCTGATGTCAGAGTTTGGCCAGAGAGAAACCATTGTATCCTTCCCACAGAACAAAAATAAATTCAAACCAAATCATGTTGTGATACCCAGCATGATTAGCATGCTGCTAATCAGCTTCCTTCCAGTTTTAAAATGAAAGTTGCCAGGCTTACTTCTCTGATTCGTAACAAGATAGCAAGTTTTGCTTCTTTATTTCCTGAATTTGTGTCTTATTTTTAGCTCGTTCTTTTCCCTTACATGCTAGAAAGCTTTTAAGCAGTGAAGGAACTTGCTTTTCATGCTGCTGTTTTGACTTCTGAAACACACTTAAAGCTACATTTCCGAAGAGCAATGTTTTCCTTGTCCTGGCTATGACAGGAAAACATCACCATTCACAGTCTTTGATGCTTGTCCTTCTTGTGATCCATTTTACTTATTTTGCATTTAATTAATGTCTACAATAACTATGGATAGTTTTCCTGTTGTTTCCGTGACTCCCATTGCTTTGGGAATTTTACTTGAGTCATTTAGCAACGTGTGCTAGTAGAACAATATAACTACACTGTATGAAATAATTTTCATCTTTGGGAGTAAAATGGATGCATGCATTGATTCTCCTCCAATTCCTTCCCTGAAATCAGCTGCCTGAAAACCCCAGTGCTGCAGGATGGTATGATAATATGTCTTAAATCACGAGATCTTCTTCTGAACTTAGTAAATGGCACGTGTCATTAGCATTCATCACACCTAAGGTATATTGCAATAAAACTCCTCTGCACAGCCTCTTCCACCTTTGTCTATCTGTCCCAGGAGATCAGATTCAGCACTGATAAAATAATAGAATTATTTAGATTAGAAAAGATTTTTAGGATCATTGAGTCCAACTGTGAACTTAACACTGTACATTAATCTAAGCATCTTACTTCACAAATGGATTTGCCTTGACATCCTATAAGAAACAGAAGGAAATATCCCTGCTTAAAATGTACCAGTAAAGAAAAAAAATTGAGTTTGTTAGATGAAGTGAAAGAGATCCTGCACTCTGGAAACTCTGCTTTCCCCACAAATCCTCTGATGAGCATGTTTTTTTCCTCTCAGTTTCCATACTTTAAAATTTCCTTTGTAAGATCAAGCGGAACTTTTTCCTAGAGGAAAGGGAGCTTCCAGTGTAGATCCTCTCCAGTGCTTCATGACCTTTACCACAGAAAGCTTACAGGCATAAGATGCAAAGGCTCATATTATCCAGCTGCTACTAGTAGTGAAAAAAGGATCTTTTTCATTGCATTCGCCTAAGCAGCTTCTAGCAGAAATGGTCCAAAGGTCTCATGACAGATGGAGACTACATTTGTCTTAGCAAAAACATGTGTGTATGGCTTGTACCTTGATGATCCTGCCCTCTTACCCATATTTTACCCTTCTGTCTTTTGCTTTTCACTGACCATTGCCTTGAAAATCCCTCCTGATAATATGCTGCCTCAATAACTTAACCTTTCAATTTCTCAAGAATGTCCTTCTCAACAGAACTAGAACTAATCAAACACATCTACGTGCATCAAAGCCACTGTAATATGCAAAAGCTTTATGGAGTCCTTAAGACTCTCTGAAAAGTACCTGATAGAAGAAGGAACAAGGTTTTAAATTTGCACATTCTCCTGTCTCCTGGGGTACTGCTTTGCGACATTCCTAGGGCAAACCTTGTTGTATAACTTTCACCTGCCAAGATTAAACATAGGAAATTATTCCTAGAAACACTGGGATACTGCTGGATCTATGGGGAAAGAAGTGTGAAGGAGGTGGAGTGACCTTGAGAAGTCACTCCAGACATGACAGCAAAGCCAGCAAGGGGAGCATCAAAGTTACATGCTGCTATTGCCTACTTTTTCTCTTTTGGGTCCCTTTCTTTCTTTCATTGAGAGACAAAGCAGCAAGTGAGATGCTCAAAGTGAAATCAAAAGTCAAGTTCAGGGAAGAAAACTTGTCAAAAAAGCAGAGACCCACACGCCCTGGAGGGCAGAGGGGAAGCAAGGAGGTGGCCCTGGAACTTCCCCAGGAGACTCTTCCCTCCACTGAGGGATAGCATGTCAGCAGGGAGGGAGCAGAGACATCGACTCTAGCCCTGCATTTCACCTGTGGGACAAGTCTAGTCTCACCAGCTGGAAAATATTACTTGAGAGATCTTTAGTTTCCCTAAATATCCATTGTTAGACCAGTGCCCAGGACTGGCATTCCAACCAGCCAGTCTGCCTAATCCCCTCCAAAATCCATGTTGGTTTTGCCTTCAGCAATATTAAATGCCAGAGACAGCAGTCTGGACAGAAGAAATTAAACATTATTTCTTCATTCCGCTTCTGCCTGCATTTTCAATCCCACAAACCTGACTCCCCCACCACCACCCCCCCCAAAAAAAACCCCTGTATGAGCTGACATTGTCCTCAAAAATTTTACTGTCTTCTATTTAAATTATAGATACATTTATATATATAAATTTAAATTTAAATTATACAACTTGTGTAAAACTTGTGTCTCTACTCCAAAAGAAGTATCAATTTAAAAAGCAATTATGTGTCTTTAGGTTGCCAGATAGACTACTGAAGGCATTTTTACCATCTTCCAGGGTCTGGGTCCTGGACCTTCAAGTACACAGCCTTGCAGGGCTCTTTCACACCCGTGTGGGGTCAGCTCCACACCGTCACCACGCAGTGCCGCGGCGGGAGCCCCAGTCTGTCGAGGGAGGACAGCTGTCTGTGCTGCACGGCCCTGCTCCACACACAGCCAGGCATCCACGGACCACCGTTCTGGACTTCACCAATTTCACACTCCACCAGCGTGACACACCACCTTAACAGGGGGCGGGAAGGAAAAGAGAGGAGGAAAATCCCCAACGAGGAACTGGGCAGAAGCACGTGCTCCTCCCGGCCCGGACTGGCGTCCCCGGGCTGAGGCGGCGCCCGAGGCTTGCAGGCATTTCTGGGCCCCGCGCCCGAAGGTCGCCGACGGCGACCCAAAGGCCCCTGGACACGGCGGGAGAGCTGCGGGACCCCCAGCGGCGGCCGGGCCCCGGACCGGGCTGCACCGAGGCCCGGCGGCGCGGAGGGCGGGCGGTGCCGCCGTCAGTCAGCGGCTGCGGGAGGCGGTGCCTGAGCGGGTTGGCGGAGGCGCCGGGGGCGGGGCGGGGGCAGAGCCGGCGGCGGGCACGGCACGGCCGAGGCACCGAGCGCGGTCGGGAGCGCGGTGGGACGGGCGCACGACGGAGAGCGAGGCGTCGCGGCGGCAGCTGCTGCCCGGCGGTGCCAGGGAGGTGGTGACGACCCCGCCGCTCCTGCTGCAGCTGCTGCTACCGCTGCTACCGCCGCTGCCGCTGAGGTAAAGCGAGTCCTGCTGCGTCCGCTGCAGCTGGTGCTGCCCCTCGGGCGGCTGCCGGGGCACGGGAGCGGGGCGGGACGGGGCGGTGCGGGGCCGTGCGGCCGCCCGGAGCCCGGGCACCGGCCGCCCCTGCGGGGTGACAGTCCGAGCGGCAGCGCCGCCCCGCGCAACTTTTCCCCCCGTGCCGGGGCGGGCCGTCCGCTGCGGCCGAGGCCGAGCCCCGCGGATGGTGCAGCCTGTCCCCTCGCGGCCAGGGGCGGCTCGGTCCGGCGCTTCCTGGGCGGGCAGGGCGAGCG